CCTTCTGCAGCCCTACTGAGAAAGCTACGTCCTCTCAGCAGGTTTGTGGGGGTGTTCCTCAGTCAAACATAAAAAAGGGTAACTGCATCTCAACTTAAGTGAATAGGCAGACTCTTTGCTGTGACTATTGTCCTCCTTCAACCTGTTTTTTGTCTTGTTTGATACCATCAGCCATCTATTGCATCTCAAATCTAGGAGCCATACCTTAAGCACATTTTCGCTTAAGCACATGCTGCTCTTTGCAATAGCAGTATGAAATGCTGACAATTCACCTACACTGAGTTGTTCTCCTGCAGTCTTTTCTCCTTGCATTTACAAAGTTGTTAGATGTGCTGCCTAGCCCTTTCTCATCATCTGTGTCTTTAAGAGCTCTGCCACTGCCAGCCCTCAGGAAGCCAGCGGTTTAGGATTGAGGAGAGAGGCTGCGAGAGGAGCTGGAGCCCTGTGAGCGGTCTGTGCACCCTGCCTGTGTGCCTGCCTGGTGGCTGCAGAGGGCTGGCAGTCAGTCTGAGCAGCAATGCAACAGCACAGTTCAAAGTAGTCAGCAGCATGGTACTTCACCTTTCAGCCTCCGTTTCTTCTCTTAATAAAAACACTTATGCTGCAAGTGGACTGTTAATTTCAAGTGGTTACTGGCCGACAATACACATTTGGTTTTTAAATAAGCTGCTTTTAGGAGCAAGGGAGAAGAAATTGGCAGGGTTTGTCTGCTTCTGAGATTTGCAATTGTTATTTCAAGCTAAATTTAAACAAGTTTAAGCTAGCAAATTTCAGGCTCATCCTTGCAGTCCTTCCACGGCACATTATAAGGCCAGTCCCTTATTGCAGGTTGAAGCTGAGTCTCAGCACTGGAGCAAGTTTAAGGAGATTCTGTGGACTGTATGAAGGCAATGTGTTGCATGAGGGGGTTGTGCAATCCCAAACTGCCTGAAGTCTCTCGTAGCTTGTATCCTTTGCCTTCCTGTTTTACTTTCCTTTCCAAAGCTGAGGATAAGAATCTCCCTCCATTTTCTGGCAAATGAGAAAATAAGAAGTGACGTGCTAAGAAAGGCAATGCCTTTTTTTTTGTGCAGTCTGACATTGGTGACTTCCAGGCAGTATAAACCTTGGTAGGTGTACTCTGTGCTCCTCATGGCCCTTGAAAAAGCCCTTCAAGGTCAACACGAGCAGATACACTCTGCACATATTCTGAGTTTTTTGGGGCCTGATGGAACTCAACTAGAGTCAAGAGATAAAGGCTTATAAACCATTTATTGTCTTGCTACTGTATGTTAATGATAGTCAATGCTCATAGAGTCCCTGCTGGTACCTGGAGCATCTGCTTCTGACATACAGACTCTCCTCAGAGTTAAAAGGTTGATTTGGCACCATTTGCTACTTGGCTTGATAAAGAAGAAATTGAAAGCACAGATGGCCCGGTGGTGAGTGTGCAAAATATTTGCAGGTGAAAAATAAATTATTCAAAATGTTTTAGCTTTTCCATTCACCCCAAAATTATGCATGAACCCTTTTCCCAGTTTTCATTTGAAAAATAACCCTCTCAAAGTTAAAATTAAGCTGAGTTTTGAGCAGAAAGTCACTAAAGGTCCTTTCTTTGAAACTTTAAAATGAATATTTATCTGCTAATGTTTGTTTCAAATTGTGTGTTAATATGGAATCAGAAGAGAAGAATCAGAAAAAAAGAGATGTGGATAATTCCACTCAAGCGTCACATACTTTAAAGGCTGTGGTAACTTCCAGTGAGTAATCCATCTTCTACCTCCGGTCACCAAATGGCCCTTTGTTGCTGCTCTGTGCTCAAAACACCTCTTGTACACCATCTACGTATTAGCCTTTATACTGTAGGTGCTGTGATTCCGGAGGGTATTCCTTTCTCTATCATTTTCTGGCTATTTCCATGTTAATGGCTTTAAATACATTATAAAAATCTTACAATAATAGATGTTAGAATGCAATTTGTTTATGGCAGTAGGTCTCAGGCAAAGTTTTCTGAGTGAATCTGCAGGTATTGAACAAAACATTTTTGATCTCAGCATCTTGATGCGACGACCATTTTTGGACATATTCACCTGATTTCACTGGAATTATGAGGTGAGACTTAGAGCGGATTTGGCCCATGTCACTTAAGGCAGCCAGCAATATTAGTTGATAGTGTTGGGAGGTTACTTATTTTGGTCTTTAGGACATAGCGCTGTGGCAGAATGTTTTACTTTTTTGTAGTAGCAACTACAGTTGCTGTCTTTTCTATAATTTAGAAATGACTGAGCTGAATATTTACAAATTTCACCGAACAGTTTGTTCTCTGGTTTAAATCCTGCCTACCAACCGCCTGCCTGGGGCAAAGAGAAAAAAAAAGTTAGCTTTGGTACTCTAAAACTAGTCGAATAAATCCTGTGCAGCTGGTCTGCATGAAATGTGCAGTGACTGCAAGCTGTAGAGAGGATTCTGAGGTTTTGGACAAACTATATGCCTGTCAGATGCTAGGGGTGTTTTTTACTCCTTTGTATTCTGTTCCAGATCTGAACAACGCATTTATTTCATGGATTGCACTAGGGAGGATACTGTTGTGAAAAGAACACTTTTCTAGGCTAGGATAGTATCATTTAAAAAAATTATTGTCTAATAGCTTTCATAGTAGGGTCTGATCTTCATATGCTGCTGCA